ATGTTCAATTTTTTAAATTAAGTTAAAATAATTAAATAGTTAAAATAAAATCGTACAAGGAGCATATGATAGAAATCAGCAGTCCCTGTCCCATTCCTCCCCAGCCTCTAATTTCTTTTCTTTGAGGCAACTTCTTTCGACTCTTCCAGCTGTTTCCTCTGTTTTTTCATCCATATTTCTGAGAAATATACTTGCACTGCCACTTCCTAATTTATTAATTGTAGACATTCTCCCATTATTGCAGTGGATAAGAATTTACCTCTTAGACCACTGCACTAGCTTCCCCTCACCATATCCTACCAACATTATTATATCACTGTTTTTGAGAAATAATTTTTCAGTGTTTAATTATTATGACAATGTGAATATTGTTCATTGATGAGCCAAGTAGTGAGCTACAATTTTGTTTCCTTTCTTGTATCCCTTTTTGTTTTTCTTGAATTTCATAATTCTGTTTTTGATTGGCTTAGTTTTCCATGTACTTATTGCTAATTCTTTTCCATACCCTCCAACAGCCTCTCAGTGAAACTTTCTGCACGAACACATCAGGTAATCTATCCATTCTTATTTCTTTTTCCTAAGACCTCAGTCTTCATGTACCAGTCTGTACAGGTTGCTCTCTAGGGTTTATATACAGGTGTTACCAGAGTACATCCCTTCACAGTCATCCTGGGTGTTCCCTATGCCTCTTGTCTGTATTTCAACCCCAATTTCCTGGATCCCATTTCTTCTTTATTTGTTTACTTCCTTGTTTTGCTGGAGCATATCCTTTAGTATTATCCTGAGGAAGGGTATTATGAGAGGTAAATTTTTTTGAGACCTGAACATTTGAAAATGTCTTTACTACTTGATTGGTAGTTTGGCTGCGTATAGACTTCTATATTGAAAATTGTTTTCCTTTAGAAATTGAAGGCATGGCTTCAGTGTCTTCAAGCTTCCATTGTTGTTACTAAGAAATTGAGTACTATTTTTATTTTCAATTGTTTGATCTATTTTTGCTCTGGAAGTTTCAAAGATATTCTCTGTTTCTAGTTTCTGAATTTTTACAGTTATTTCTCAATATGTATCTCTTTTCATTCATTATGTTTGGCAATTAGTAGATGTGCTTGATCCAGAAACTTAGGTTTTTTGGGGAAATTTTGTTGAATTATTTAGCAATTTCCTTACCTCCATTTCCTTTACTCTCCTTCCAGAACTCATACTGGATGAATATTGGACCTCCTGGATCAATACTGTACATTTCTAGTCTTTTCTGTTTTCACTGTCTTTGGCTTTTGGTTACTCTTTCTACAATATTTCATTAACTACATTTCTCAACTTTTTAGCTGAATTTTTTTATTCCAGCTATCTTATATTTAATTTCCAAGTGTTCATTCTTGTTCTCTGATTGTTCTTTTCCAAAGAAAATCATCTTCTTGTTTCATGGATGTAATATATTATCTTTTTGAGGAAGTAAATTATACAGGCATACCTCAGAGATATTGTGGGTTCAGTTCCAGACCACTGCAATCAAGTGAATATTGCAATAAAGAGAATCACACAAATTTTCTGGTTTCCCCGTGCGTATAAAAGTTATGTTTATACTATGCAGTAGTCCATTAAGGGTTTAATAGCCTTATGTCTAAAAAAATAACATACATATCTTAATGAAAAAATACTTTATTGCTAAAAAAAATGCTAACCATCATCTGAGCCTTCAGCAAGTCGTAATCTTTTTGCTGGTGGAGGGTCTTGTAAAGAAAAAAAATGCAATATCTGTGAAGCATGATAAAGCAAAGCGCAATAAAATGAGGTATGCCTGTAGATTAACATTTTTTTCTTCTGTTTCCTGCATTGTTTCTGTTTCTTCCGAGTTTTTCTGTTTGTTTTGATCGGTTTTTCATAGTGCAGGCTTTCCTCAAGTGTCCTTTCATGCATGAGAGTGAAGCACTAAAAACAAATGATTGGAAGTTTATTTGATGGGGGGCTCACTGGCTAACAGATTTCAGTGCAGGATAATCTGGCAGCAAGTTGCCAGAAGTATCAGACCTGAACATCTTTTCTCCGGTGCTGTTCAGTTCTCCAGGAAAGGATTCTCTGGTCTCTTACTTGGGATGTGAAGTCCCAGCTGCCAGTATTCTGGAAACTGGCTGAAGGAGGAAACTAGAGGTCTTGTCATTCAGGAATAATTTTACTTAATCCTTCTATTTTCATTCCTGCATCCTCCGTTGTGCCTGGTCTCCCTAAGTCTGAAGCCTCTCTTGCTCGATTTCTGCAAAGAATAAGCCGCTGTGTCCAGTAAGGTGGGGAAGGGGTGGTTTCTAGGTGGGCAAGTGGAGTGGGATGGGGCCTGTGAATGCAACCTCTGCTTCCTGAGACCTGTTTCCGTCTGCAGTCCTGTCCTTCTCCCCTGCCTGCGCTTATCCTTGCTGCCTCTAATTCATCTTAGGGCGTCTTAGAGCCATTTTAGGGCAGATCAGCTCATTTTTCATCAGAATCTCGCTCTGAAATCACACAGGTTTCTGTTTCTTTTGCTCTGCTTGGTTACTTCTCCTCCAAACAATTTCTGTCTTCCCTCATCTCTCATCTTCTGTCTTCTCTCCTGTTCTCTTTATTCTATGGGCTTGTCCTTGTCTTACTCATTTACCATAATTTATAAAGTTTAGGAAGAAGTTAAGACATTGTTTCAATTCACTGTGTTTAACCAGAAATCTACTATTCCTTTTATAATTTTTAAAAAATGAGATGCTTAGAACTGAAGACAGTGTTCAGATCTGATATCCCATTGTAGAAAAAAAGCTAAACTGACACATCTTTTGATCTAAAAGGAATTTTCTTTTGGTTGCAGACTTTGTTGTTTGTTCACTAATTTGTATTTGGCTGCCATCTGACTGAATAGCGTAAGTCTCTAGGCTTTCAAAGTGGTGAGTGGGGCGTCCTGCTTTCATTTTTGCCTGCCTTAGTTAGCGCACTCCTGGTATAGATCCCACTATTACTCTATTGATTGCTGATAGATTCTATTTGTTGATATTTACTTTGATATTCATGAGAGATTGTGTTTTTACCTTACTGTACTAGTTTTATCAGAATTCATATCAAAGTTAAACTGGCTGCTTAAAAAGAATTTGGAAGCTTTCCTTCTTTATGCTCTAGAAACAGCTAAAATATCATCTGGGGAAAAATAAACTAAGCTGGCTAAAAGTAACACGGTATGCTGGATTGGATCCTGGAACAGAAAAAGACACTAATGGAAAAACTGGTGAAATCTGAATAAAGTCTATGGTTTTGTTAATATTATTAGACCAATGTTAATTTCTTAGTTTTGACAAAGGTACGATGATTATGTAAGATGTTAACGTCAGGGAAAGCTGGATGAAGGGAATATGGGAACTGTCTATATTATCTTTGCAACCTTTTTATACATCTAAAATTGTTCCAAAATAAAAAGTGTACATTTAAAATAAAACAAAAATCGTCAGGGTGAGGCACATCGTATAGATTTGTAAGAATTCACCTTTGAACCTGTCTGTGCCTGCGACTCTGTTTTGGGGATAGCTCTTTAACAATTTTCTTTTTTATAGTAATTATCTTTTTAAATTTTCTACCTCTTCTAGGGTCATCTTATATCATTTATATTTTCCTTGAAAACTATCCCTGTCATCAAGGTCTTCAGATGTGTTTGCGTAGTGTTAAGCAACATACTTTTTTTCTTTGTATCCATGGTTGTTTCCCAATGTTCTATCTTATTTTGTGTGGTTATTTATCGGGGTGCAAAATTAATTTGGCGAATTGAGACAGTGTTTTAAAAAGTGAAATAAACTAGAAAAAATATAAATATATATTGTTTTATGAAACTTGAATCTCAAGCACATATATCATTTGTCTTGGTAACCTGACAATGTCCATCAGGCACAAATGTATGTAACTTTTGACCCAGCAGTTTGGTATTTGGGAACTTATCTAGATACATAATTGCATACACGCTGCAGTGATAGCTACAACAGAATTCAGTGCAGTGTTTCTAATAGCAGAAGATCGGCCATATCTGAAATGTCTATCAAGAGGGACTATTTTTTAAGTTACAGTGGATTCATACAATGTAATACTCAGTAGTTGTCAAAAAGAATGAAGCAGCATTCTACGTCTTGATGTGGAAAGACATCAAGGATAGCATATCATATTCTAAGCAGAAGAAAGCCTGGTGCCGAACAATGTGTGTGGTGTACTGTCATTTGTCTTAAGAAGAGGACATATAAAATCTATATTTGTATTTGCTTGTATAGGCATAAAGAAATTCTGGAAAGACAGACAGAGAAGGAGAGCAGTGATTATGTATGGGCGTGGGAACTGGATGGATGGGGGCGGGTAAGGATAGAGGGGAGACCTTTCACTGTGTATCTTTTTTAAAAAAATTTTGGTAAGAACACTTAACGTGAGATCTACCCTTTTAACAAATTTTTAAGCACACAATACAGTAATCATATATCTTTTTTACAGTCTAGGGTTTGAATTATAAAAATGAATTACCTATTCAAAGATTAAACATAAAATATTGAGCAAAAGGAGCAGGACTCAGACGCACAGGCACAAGGCGACTGGAGTGCTCTGGGTGCTGCATCTCCTGCTGCCGGCCCCGGGCCGAGCTGCGCTCTCCGGTTGCACACAAAGCTGAGGGCGGGGGGCGGGGGGCAGGTAGTAAGGTGTGTTTCTTACCATGGGTCACAGTCACAGTTTGAGAAAACTTATCTATTTTATTCCCTAGTCATTACGTTTAACTGTTTAAGATGTAAAGCCAGTCTGTTGACCACAAGACTGTGGACTCCTTGGGGCAGAGGGCTGCTGAAGTTGTTTGCTCTGTGGACGCTGGGTGCCTGTTTATGTAAACTTCAGATAGAAGGAGCCCTAGTTATTTGATCAGCATGTCTTAAAATGGGCAAATGTAGGAAGCATCATAGTGATTTGTCAGAGTCCTCTTCAAAATATTTTGGTTAGCATCTTAAGAAAACTCTTCTTCCTTTCAGGTAAATGGAAGAGCTGGAGACCAGTTTATTTCAGACACGGAAAGCACACAGAATAGAGCAAATGGTGGCAAGATGGCTTCGGCGCTCCCGGGACAGCTCGGCCCGGTAAGGCTCCTGGGCTGGCGGAGATTTCTGTCTGTAAAGCTCGGCTGTCCCTGGGGGTGGAAGTTTTCCCAGTCTTGGCAACACTTTGGGATCACCGTCTCTGGCTTGCTTTCTTCTTATGCTGTACGGTGGGAGAAGCGCAAACAGGTCAGCAGTTTTGGTGAAGTGCCTTTCTCTCTGTCCCCCTTCCAACTCTTCCCTCTGCGTCCCTCAGCGTGCACCCACAGACATACTCACACCAAACTCATGCACACATTTTCAGAGACAAGCACTCATACTTACTCACACACACGTGCACATACACTGTGGAACATATGCACCCTCACACACACACCCCTTGTCTTAGTACTCCATGTGAGGGTCAGGCAGTCTGCTGTTTCTACTCTCTCCCCAGCTTTGTTTCTAGCAGCTGTTCCTTCCTTGCAGTCCCTGTTTCATTCTAAACAAAATAAAATGAAATCAAATACAGATCTGATTTGACTGCTACGAGAGAACTAAAATATGTTCTGTTTTGAAGCGTTTGTTTTCCATCTCAGATTTCCCATCTGGCCCTGCCACAGAGATGAAATATCACGTGTCGGGTGTTTCTGAGACACATTCTTCCGAAGGGACTGGAAACAGCTGTTCTGCTCCTGCGTGATAAACCCTGCTCAGGCCTACACTGCCCTGCAGCCGAGCGCTCTGATCCTCGTCTGCTGCCATGAGATAAGGCTGGAAGAATTAGCCCCATTTTACAGATGAAACACCTGAGGCTCAGAGACTGACTTGTTTAGGACCATCCCCACCCCCTGCTCAGAGAAGTTTGATGGGTCCCCATTTCTTATAGGACAAGTTTAAACATTTTTGGTTTGACATTCAAGGCTCTCCGTGATCGACTTACAGTCCTTTACAGCTATTTGTCTTACTGCTCTGCTTCGTTCGCGTGATACTCTAGCTAAAATGCAGTACTCATCGTTCCCTGATACAAGCACTCCCTCTTACCCTTCCGCCCCTTAGCCTTGGCCTGCTGTACCAGGTCCCTTCCTCCTATCTCCATGTGTCCAGGACCCACCCACAGTTCAAAGTCGGGCTGAAATGCTGGGTCTTCCAGGAAGTGTTCCTGCAGTCGGAATTAATCTCTCCCACGGGGCCCGTAGTATTTGATTCGTCCCATCAGCATGTGCTCCTCCCTGTGTGTTCACTCATTTGAGCACTTCCCTTTTCTGCCTTCTGGACTGTAAGCTCCATGAGGGCAGGGAAAATATCAGCCTCAGTTGATACCCCAGAGGTGACTGAGTTCCAGGACATTGCAAGTGGTGGAGTGGTGCTTGGTGAATCAGTGGGAAAACGGCTCAGCACGTTGTTTCCTACAGCGGGTTCTGCAACACCTAGTCTTCTGCGATGCGGTGCTGCTCCGTAAAGATGCCGCGGCCAGGCACGTTGGGGGAGTGGTGCAGCCTGCTCCTGCCCACCCACCCACCCCGCTTGGTGATTCGTAGTGCACTGTAGCACATTAAGGGCTCTGAGAATTCCTGCAGAAAAGAGACCTGTGTAACTTTAACTTGATGTTGTCTAAATATTTGACCTTGGAACTCTCTAATATCCTGCTTCTCTCAGAGAATGTAAATAATAGGTGACACTGACATCTAGGAAGTTTTTTTTGTACATCTTTTTTGAGATTCATTTCACATACCGTAGAATTTACTCAAAGTATACAATTCGGTGATTTATAGTATATATTTAGCGTATATACAGAATTGTGCAACAATCACCACAATCTAATTTTAGGACATTTTCAATACCCCTCCAGAAAACTCTGTCCTCCCAGCCTAGGCACCCACTCCTCTACTTTCCAACTCTATAGGTTTGCCTGTTCTGGATATTTCACATGAATGGGATCACACAATATGTGGTCTTTTGTGACTGACTTCTTTCACTTAGCACAATGTGCACAAGGTTTGTCCATGTTATGGCATCTCTAAGTATTTCATTCCTTTTTTTTTTTCAATTATTTTTTTATTGAGTTCATAATAGTTTACATCAATGTGAGATTTCAGTTGTACATTGTTTCTTGACTGTCACCACATAAGTGCTCCCCTTCACCCCCTGTGCCCACCCCTCACCCCCCACCATCTCTAATCCTGCAACCTTGATCTAGGCTGGGTTATTAGTGTCCTCAGATTACTTGAAAATCATCAAGAACTGGAAAGCTAAGTTTGGGGTAAATAACTGTAATTTCCTTGGAGTAGAGTCAATAGTACCACCTACCATGCAGTTGCTTGATCAAGAAACCTGGGAGTCATCCTAAATTTTTCTCTCTTCCTCACATTCTGTATTCACCCCATCAGCTGCTCCTGTCAGTCCGCTTTCAAACATACCTCAGTCCTCTCCCCCTCTGTGTCCCTGGGGGCACTGCCGTGGTCGCTCACTCTCTGCTCCAGCCGTTTCTCCTGCAAGGCCCTTTATGAGCTGGCCCTGGTCTGACTCTCCAGCCTCCCGTTCTTCCTCCTGCTTCCTCGGCACCTTGGGTCCCCCTGTTTGTTTCCTTCAGAGTACTTACCCCCTCACCACATTTTATAACAATGTATCCATTCTTTACTTATTCCTTGTCTACCTCCTCACCTGTTTATTGTGTGACCTTCTCCCCCAGCCCTCCTGTGGCACACGAGACCCAGGATCAGGATGGTCTTGTTTTACAAAGTATCTTCAGCTCTGGAAGAGTGCATAGTATGTAATAGATGTTCAATAAATTTTTATTAAGGGCTTTCATAGTAAGGGACTATATTATTTATTAAAATATATTTAAATTTTACATCCTTCCTTCTTCTAAAAGGAATTTTTGATGGCTTACAGTTTTAAAACATGTAGAAAATTTTAAATAAAGACTAGAAATGTTATAAATAGATTGCAAACCAATTAGACATAGGCTTTAGCATTTGAGTACCAACATTGGCTCTGAATTCCCTGATAGCCAGGGCAAGAAATGAAAGAAGTGCATTGAAATGTTTTCTGTAGTCTAGAAAGAGGAAGCATTCACGAGTAGTCGTATAGTTTTACATGCATATTTTAGCAATCCTGCTATTTTTTTCAGACTTTTAAAAGCTTCCAATCATTTCAGCCATTTGTACTTGCTTCACTTGTAACTGCCATTTTTCCATAACGTTTAAACTTTCTCTCTGACTATTGAATTGTCTAGGAACAAATGAGTCAAAAATAACTATTACCATTTCCAAATGTTACTAAACAAATTGATAACACCTTTTTTTTTTTTGAGGACGATTAGCCCTGAGCTAACATCTGCTGCCAATCCTCCTCCTTTTGCTGAGGAAGTCTGGCCCTGAGCTAACATCCGTGCCCATCTTCCTCCACTTTTTTTTTTTTTTTTTTTAATATGTGGGACACCTGCCTCAGCATGGCCTGATGAGTGGTGCCATGTCCACACCCAGGATCTGAACTGGTGAAACCCTGGGCCACCGAAGCAGAGTGTGCGAACTTAATCACTCGGCCACGGGGCCAGCCCCAATAGACTTTATTTTTAGTGAAGTTTTAGGTTTGCAGAAATATTGAGCAGCAAGTACATAGCGTTTCTATATACCCCCTTCCTGCCCTTGGCCACATACACAGTTTCCCCTACAATTAACATTTTGGTGTTTAATGTGGTCTGTTTGTTACCACTGATGAGCCAATACTGATACATTATTCTTAGCTAAAGTTATAGTTTACATTGGGGGTCACTCTTTGTGTTATACATGATATGGGGTTGTTTGGGGTTTTTTTTTTTTTGAGGAAGATTAGCCCTGAGCTAACATCTGCTGCCAATCCTCCTCTTTTTGCTGAGGAAGAGTGGCCCTGAACTAACATCCGTGCCCATCTTCCTCTACTTTATATGTGGGATGCCTGCCACAGCATGGCTTGCCAAGCAGTGCCATGTCCACACCTGGGATCGGAACCGGCAAACCCTGGGCCACTGAAGCAGAATGTGCGCACTTAACCGCTGCGCCACCGGGCCAGCCCCCAAATTGATAACTTTTATGAACCTCAGGTAATGTTAGAGCTTTATAATGCATCTTAAAATGGGTGTTTTCAAAGTTGCTTTGATTCAGGCAGCAGCACTCAGTCTGAGTGAGTGTGCACCTGGGGAGACGCAAGCTCAGTGGCCCCTATAGCTGCAGGGCTGCGGGATTACCCAGATGTGCTGAAATGACTGCTCTCACTACTTGCCCCCACATTCCAATACAAGAATAACATTTACAGTCAGTGAGAGACAAATCATCTCTGTGACATGTGTTGAATGTCTGCATATGTAATACAATACAAACTACTTAATAAAAGCTGCAACATGGTGACATTACGTCATAAAATAATTTTTAATCATTTTGCTTTGATCTAAATTATCTTTTTAACAGCTTTGTATAACTGCAGAAGTGATAAAATGAGACTTAGATTATAGTATACTTTTTCACTTAATTATACCAATTTTTTTCTCTCCTACAAAAGTTTCGGTTTTTATGTTAACTACATAAATGGTATTCTCTTGGTGAATTTCTTTGATTGCTTCTAAGCTTAGAAAATCCTCACCCAATAATTAAATTAATTAATTAATTTTCAATTTAATTGTTCAAATTATGTAGTTCAAATTATTTTGTATTTAATTCTTTAATTTGGAGTTTATTTTAGCATAGGCTATGAGTGAAGGGCTAACTTGGTTTTTTCCCAGGTAGTAAGTAGTTGTTTGCATCACCGTTAGCTGTGAGTAATCCTTTCTTCACTGATTTGGCCCCTCGTTTATCGTAGATGAAATTCCTTCTATGGTGGGAGATTGGATCTCTTTCTAGGCACGCTGTTCTGTTCCCTTGAGCCAGCTGCCTGTTGTCACACACCTGTCTTAAAACTATTTACATTTAGTATCTGTTAAGCTAGACTTTTATTGCTCTTCATTTTCAGTTTTTACTCTTACCTGCCTATTCTTCCATGTGAAATTTAGAACAATTTTGTTGTTCTATTAAAACAAATCGTCATAA